CCGGAGAGAGAAGAGAGGAGAGATGAGAGTTTTAAAATACCAAAAATATCCTTGTATTAAGATTTTAATTTAAAATTACCAAAATTATAAATTTTCTAATTTATCTATTGATTTGTGGTTAATATTGGTTCTCACAGTTACCACAAACTAATTAGTTCTCATTTGATTAAGCCCCTACATATATGTATATGAGAAAAAGAGGCTTAGAAAGGTTGAAGGGGATAGGGTAGATGGTGAGGGATTGTACTAGGTTCGAGTCTTGGGTTATTGATGATAGACAGAAAAACTATCAAAGAGACAATTAACCAAATTATATAAAAATAAAAAATAAAAACTTGTTGATTGTGCATTCATACCCCCAACTCGTTTGGGAAGCAAGAAGGTTGTTATGATTGGTTGTTACACACAATCTCGCTACCAAAACATTACATCCAACAAGTTTTATCTTCACTTGCTCACTACTTTTATTCACCCGATTTGCTCAGTCTTACGTAACCGTAACCATTTTTTCGATTACATAAACCTTTTTTTTAATAGCGATAAGAGTTAAAATAAATAAATGATCATATCAGCTTTTTTAATATAACATGTTTACAAAAAAGTTGTATTTATTACGCGACTAAGTGTCTTTGTATTTAGGTTTCCTTAAACAAAAGAAACACCAACTTATACCTACTCCCAAATATTGACTTTTAAGATGGACAACTGTCTTTTCTTAATACTTCTTTTTTTAATTAAACAAGTATATTTAATTTGATATATATATATATATATATATATATATATTAATATTTTCTTTTTTAGAGAACAATTTTATATATTTAAATTATGATTTTTCATGGATTTAGTGACCGGTAAATCAATCTTAGTTATTTGTGGGGGTTTGGTCCATTAGTTAGGTATTTGTTTAGTCATTCAGATAGTGACCGACGTGTGTGTATATATAACGGAAGTTTCTATTACAAACCATATAATTCTAACAAACTTTACAAATCAATCTCAACCGTCAATCTAGTCTAACAAATATTTGATTTTTAAAAACCGATTTTAATCATTAAACATGATCAATGGATGAATTTGAGATTAAAGATGATCAAACATACAGATCGCTTAATACGCTCCTCACCGTTATATTTTTTCTCATCTCACACGATCTATTTTGAAAAGAAAGAATTTATACAGCTACACATTTAAAGAAATTGCATATAAAAGTGACATGAACATGGAGGTGGACGCCACTTTCTCTTCATAACCTTTTTAATGCCAACCATATTCCACTTCCTTAATATTATCTATACTATATTATAAAATATTTGATAAAAATTCTTAAACGTAATTTTTTATGCATGAAATACTTTATATCAATGTATATTACTTAAAATTTAAAATTACAAGTAAATTGTGCATAAGTATAACTTATTAAAGCTTTATTTTTAAATTCGTATAACTAACCACAAATAAACATTATTAAGTATAGAATAAATATCTCATTTTAAATATAAAAAATCTAAAATATAATTAGGATAATCATTAAGTTCTAACATAATCATTATATTTATAAAAATTTATTGTGAAACCAAAAATAAATTACTTCACTATTTGACCTAAACTAAAGTATAATAAAAAAATGAATTAAAGAAATTGTACAGAAAAACGAGGACTTTTAAATAGTTAATTGGATATTAATATTAATATATTTTTTTCAAATTTTTATGACGTCTTGAAATTTATTTTTATTCAAAAGTAAAACATTATCTTTCTCAAAACCACATAAACCGTATTGTATCAACAGAGACAAAAAATAAAACGAAACATTAAAATGAAAATGTATTTTACTGCATTATGCAAGCACCCTTCTAGTATGAATAAAATAATCAATGTCGTAAACTTGGGGGTCGTTTACTAAACGGTTACCCGGTAAGTACTTACCAGGTAAACTTTCTCACCGGATAAACATGGCAAGGGCCAAGAATCTTATCCGGTAAGTACTTACCAGGTAAACTTTTTTACCGGATGAACATGGCAAGGGCTAAGAATCTTACCCAATAAGAACGATGATAAGGATGAAGAGTCTTACCCGATAAGTGAGGGTGACGCCTCTTACCCAGGTAAGCGTTTACCAGGTAAATTGTTGCATGTGATACGTTTTGATGTACCACAATTTCATCCAGTAAAATAAATTATAGTGTTGACTTTTAACGGTAAGCACTTACCGGGTAAGCATTTAGGTAAACAGCCCCTTATACATTTTTTCAATTTGTATCAAGTCTTCACGCTAAAATGCGAATTTTGTTACATTTCACAACGTTAACGCCAAATTTATTAAAAACTTCACATATCCACATACTTTAACATGTTAACATCCATCAAAACCACATGTTAAATATGAGATTTTCAATTTTGTACGCGTTTAAGCTAATCTGTCATTCCCTCTTCGATAGAGATGGTAACGGGCCGGGGATGGGGCAGGGACCCCAATCCCGTCCCTGATATCCGATCCTTGCCCCCGTCCCCAACAGGGAACGGGGATCCCCAACGGGGAAACGGGCATCTTTTTTCCTTTTTGTATAAGTTTTTTTTTTTAAATCAAATGTGTGAGACGCTACATATATTTAAATTTCACATTTTTCCAATAAGGGAATCGGGCATTTTTTTTCCTATTTGTATAAGTTTTTTTTAATCAAATGTGTGAGACGCTACACATGTTTAAATGTCACATTATTTCCAATAAACCTAAAATTAAAAGGAATTTAATTTAATACAAAAAATATACATCATCATATAATAATTACTAAATCGAAAAAAAAATAAACTTAATCTAAAAAAATTAACGTCACATGTACCAGAACATATTGAATAATATCCAAAATATATTGAAACAAAAATTATCATTTACCGATTAAATATAAATAAATAATATATAATATAATTTATCAATTAATATATATGCGGTTACGGGACGGAGAGTGTGATACCCATCCACGTCCCTGGTTTGAGCCAGTCCCCGATTTACAAGGAATCTCCATCCCCGACCGAAGCAGGTGGACCAGGTGCCCAACGGATCGGGGCCAATTCCCATGCCTACTCTTCGATCAACTGATATACGTATCTTTGTGGTCTTATCTCAGAGTGTAATCAAAAGCATTTGTATCTAAAAAATTGAAACGTTGCCTTGTCAAAATATGTAGTTATATGAACCTCCGATAACAAAGCGGTCCCCACGATTCTTACCCAAAACCATGGATTCATCCAAAACCCAACATAATCAAACCAACCCTTCTTAAACTTGTACATACATCTTATAATTAGACGAGGTTTCCATTTTCAGAGTACCCAAAATAATAATTAAAAGAAAAGATCTTATAATCAAACTGTGTGTAAAAAAGAATTTATCACAATCGAATCAAGTTCCCGGATACTCACCTGAATCCGACTTTAGCGGCCTTTCGGGTTCATGATCTGTGAGAAAACCGCACTCGGCGTTAACCCATCTGAGTCCTCGCTAGCGAGACTTCGACCGCCGATGCTCATCGACATTCCGCTGCTTCTTGAATCTGTCACGTTTCCCTCATAACCACCCTTCTCCGTCTTTCCTTTCAGCGGCACATCATCATAAACCCCCTCTTCTAACTCCAATGCTCCTTTGCCGCCACTATCTTCCGCACTCTCTTGAAGTTGTAGAGCAAACTCGAGGTTCCACAGAACATCCCCCATCGATGGCCTTTCGATCCCTTGGTCCGCTACGCACTTCACGGCGGTCTCTGCCACTTTCTTGAAACATTCCGGCGAAATCTTTCCCTTCAGATACGGGTCGATGATCTGGTCAAGAATTCCCTTTGTGTGACAGTGTTGAGCCCATTCAGCTAAGCTCACTTGCTCCTTCGCAAGTGTCGGGTTCAGGGCGGGCCGTGCACATAAGATCTCAAAAAGCACCACCCCAAATGAGTAAACATCCGATTTATCCGTCAACTGTTGTCTCCTGAAGTATTCGGGATCTAGATACCCAAAACTACCCTTCACGACGGTGCTTACATGAGTGTGATCCACAGCAGGACCCGTCTTTGATAGCCCGAAATCAGACACTTTGGCAACCCATTTCTCGTCCAAGAGGATGTTTGTTGTCTTGACATCCCGGTGGATGATGGTGTGTTTGGCACCCGTGTGAAGGTAGTGTAGACCACGGGCAGCGCCTATACAAATCTCAAGCCGTTGCTTACATGTCAAAGGTTGATTTTGTGTATCGTAAAGATGCTCACGAAGTGTTCCATGAGCCATGTAATCGTATACAAGGATCATCTCGGTGTTCTCTTTACAATAACCAATTAAAGAAACAAGGTGACGATGACGAAGTTTTGAAAGCATTTTGATCTCGGTTTGAAATTCGTTCAAACCTTGATTAGAGAGTGGGTTCCCTCGCTTGATTGCAACTTTAGTCACTCCACCATCGATTTCTCCCTTGTAAACCTTCCCGAATCCACCAACACCAAGAAGTAGAGCCTCATCAAAGTTGTTCGTGGCGGCTTTGATCTCGGAAAACGAGAAATGGCGGCAGAGATTCGAAGGCAGGGAGGAAGCATAGCTTCCGGTGGTATTTGTCTTAGCCGTAGAGCCTGAAGAGTGTGAGTTTCCATATAAAGAAAGCGGGAGCCAACCCGATGGACCATCACTTGAGTTAGGATCCTTGCGTTGCTTGCCTCTACGGGAAAGAAAGCACACAAACAGACCAACAAGGAGGATGAGGGCAATGCCGCCTCCGATGCCGCCACCGATTATCCCACTTTTGTTGCTTGATTCACCTGATTTCCGGGATGATACTCCCCTGGAGGGGTCGATGATTTCTTGTGTTGGAGCCGGAGCTGGAAGCGATCCTCCAAGATTACCACTACTAGCATTAATCTTAAATATCTCCACACCATTCAAGATTGCATCATACCTTTCCGGCTTTGCAGCAGTATTAGGATGCAGTGCAAGCCACAGATCATCTCGGGGAGCCCCCGGAGGGAAAAAGACGATATAGTCTTTAAACACAGGAACTTTACTCTTTGTTGCCCAAGCAATCACATCCGCCTCAGTCTCTGCGGTCTGATTGTTGATAAAGATTTCAAACACCCTTTGGTTGATACGGCTGATATCCGGAGCAACTTCACAGAAATGAAGCCTAACCAGGTATGAAAATCCAGTGTCAACATCAAAGTACCAACTCAGATTGTAACCCACATTGATTGCAGGCGTCGGGCCCATCGACCTGGCAGTTTTATAGACATCGACTGGTGCAACATATTCCGGCATACCCAAAGGATATGTGATTGTGATGTTGGGATCAGCAGCCACAGGAACCCCATTGGAAGCCCCAAACGTATAAGGAGTATCACCTCCCCACGGTCTAAAGAGCCCAGTATCCCCAGAAGGCGAAATAGACTGCCCACCAACATTTAACCGATAGACATTTTCAAGGACGGTGGAGTTGTCGATGTCGACAGCTATGGTGGCACCAACACTTGTAGAAGTTCCCGCAGAAGCATAAATATCTGGATGAGACACAACTTCAATACCATTGACAAATGCATACGAGTCAGGAGTTTCTGGAGAAGGAGTGAATGTTATATTCAAAGTCCCAGATTCCACGTTGATAGAATACTCCTTAGAGATGAAATCATAGTTGAGATTGGTCGTGGTCTCGGCTGCACTGAAGTTTTTCAAAAGGGTATATGGTCCGGAAACAACAGAAAAGACACCCTTGGAGGCATCAAGATTAGCATAAGATGCAGGATAAAAGTAAAGGCGGATAAATTTCCTGCCAGATGCTACAGGAAAACTATAGGTGAACGCAGATCGGAAAATACGAGCAGTCATGTAAGGGACTGTTGGAACAGAAGGTTTCTGGGTAGCAGCATCCGACACTATCGAATTTGCACCTTCTAATGCAAACTTCGACCCTACATCGGAGGTCCATTGCCTACCATCATCATCGTTCAATTCACCACTTGCACCGCAATTTAGTAAAATCTTATCGGCTGGAACATAATCCGCAGCTAAAACCACATGAATCACGCAGCCCAATAGCAAAAGGCAAGGAAATAAATCGATCAGGCAATACCTATTGGGATTTCTCATAATTCCACAAATTCAAACCTGAAACAATCACAAAACACAATCAATTCTTAATCTCTAAATGAATTCAGTTACAGGAAACACGATCCCTATTCAATTTTCCAAAAGCTGAAAGTAAAAATAATAATAACAAGTGAATAACAAAATTCAGCCACCACCCAAACTCATAACGATGAAATCAACAGTAATACGACGAAGAGTTGAGCAAAATTACACAAGGAAATCGAAACGCATCAGCAAGATCTATAACTAGCTATTTTCAGTTAAAAAAACAAACTAGGGTTTCAAGTTCCCACTCCTTTCCATCAGATTTTTGAACTCCACAAAAGGTATGATTTCACAAACCCATGAAGTGAACAGATCCACAAAGTTTAACAACACTACCACCACCACCAACAACAACAACAGAAATGGACCAATTGAAAAGCATAATGAAGTGAAGAAGAAGTAATTTCAAAAAAGTATGTCGTTATTACCTGAAAAAGGAGTGGATTGCAGCGACGCTGAAGTGGTAATGCAGATGAACATCAAGCCATAGATTGAAGAAATATGAAATCAAGTGAGATGAAGATATGAAGAGAGAGAGAGAGATGGCGTCCAGAGAGAGATTTAATAAGATGAGTTGGCCGGTTAAAACTTATTATACCTTTTATATAAACATATTCATCAGAACGTGGTCCGTGGTTGATGTAAGAGGAGAGACGGAGATATGTCAAATTACATTATTACCCCTTAGAACTATTTATTTCGTATATTATATTACCAAATAAGAAATATATAAAATTTACATATATGAATTTTTTTTTTATTTTTTAATAATTCACATGTGAATAAAAGAGGGGTAAATTTGAAAAAACGCGTGAAATGAGGGGGGAATACTTTGACAGATCATAAATATACAAAAGACAGCATATTATAGCCGCATACGCGTTCTCTATCATTGTCACCGTCTCATTTGCTAATTTCGTTTACATCCCTATATTATGCTCTTATTACAAGTTTGACCCCTAATATCATAAAATATTTCACTCCACCCTCCATAAATTATTACATAGTCCGGAACTTCAATAAAAGCATAGAAATTGCTTCTTGCTTTTTGTAATCATAAATGGTTGATTTAAAGCTTCTTTGTCTCACAATCTATCTTTCTAAGTTTCAAAAGCCATGGATGAATACTTGATGTAATTTAAAACGTTGGGATACCTGGTTGTGGTGTAATAACAGATGAGAAATGGAAATAGATATCATTGACAGTGTCAAGTTTGATGCAACTGAATGAACCAAATACTGGGTAATGAAGATTTGTCAACGAATTATGAGGGAATAAAATTCGTTCTCGTTTTCATTTTCATAAACGAATCAAGTATTGTCCTCGTTATTATATTAAGTGTGCTTTTCTTCGTTTTTCTTTTTTAAAACATATTTCATAGCATTTTAATCAGATTAGGAAGTAGGAGATAATGTTTAGATATATACAAAGAAACGAACTCTCATTTTATATCTATCCTTGTAGCAAATAATGTTGTGTTTGTAGCAAATACTGTTGTGCTCATCGTCTAACTTCCGTTTCCCATAATGGCGAAAGTAGAAAGTACCATCATAATAAACACCTGCCTGAAAATTTTCATATGGCTATCATCTAGTTCTGATGTCCATACAAAGAATAGTTTTGTGTGCATCCCAAACCATGGTTATATGTTTTTAACTGTGTGGAGTTATGCCATAATAAAACATGGAATGAATTTTGGTTGACCTTGGCACCACATCGATATCCATAAGACCCACGAATACAAAGTCAGTGGTTGCAACTCAATTTCGGGTCAAGATTTGAAGTCTCCCCCTATACTAACATGTAAAAATCGTATTTATATCAATACTAGATTACTCATACCAATGACTAACATTTTGAAAACATGTTCCAACTTCATTGTCCCGCCAATTTATTGCTTTCTTTATGAACTTACTTTTCATTGCTCCAATCCAAAAGCTCTACTTTGAAATTCAACTTTTCATTCATTCAAACTCTATATTACATATACTTTATCTCGTTACATGACCCTCACACGAGACGACACAATCCCAAAAATACTACACAAATTCTTATTAATATTTGAGTCCAAAATTGGTGACAACACATTTTTCCGAGCAATCTTGTCTTTATCATTGATAGCATTAATTATATTTGATACAGTATTCTTAGACGAGTATTGTTGAAAGTTTTCAAGATTTCCAACTAATATCAAATATTTACACTGGACATATGTTAAAATAAACATATTATATATACTTGAAACAATGGGCAATGGGGCAAATGGCTGCATAGAATAAGCCAAATCAAACGACCCTAGTGTAATTCTATCCATATGTGGGGTTTAGGAGAGTTGGATGTATGCACCTTTGAACTCTACTTCAAATATTATGATCGTTGTTTTTATAAAGACGCTCAACTTTTACAAAGTGTGCAAAAAATAGAGAAAGCTAGAATATATACACATTCATGTATAGTCTATTTTCAATTTCATCTGTTTTATACCAAATAGGACAGAAACAGGGTGGGTATTGTGCGGGTAATGCATCCCCCCTCCCATCCCCGCCCCCCATTAAAGCCCCCCCGTCTCCATCCATATAGGTTCGGGGAACCCGTTGGATACCCGTTTAGTAAAATACGATGTATTTTGAAATTAAAATTACAATGAATCATCACTACATTAATTATCAATATTGAAAATCAAATATATTTGTCACTTAATAATAAATGTATAAAAATATACATATATATTTATTTATACACATACTATATATATATATATATATATATTAAATAAAAAAAATTAATCGAGATCAAATTAGGGACGGATAATGTCATCCTCGATCTCGCTTCGGGCATGATCTTAAATCCCCGTTCCTACCCCACTACCCACCAAATCGAAGAATTCCCGCTCTGTTAGGATCAAGTACTTGTCATTGTGAGAAAAATTTTCATTCCTAATTCTGAATACACCCAAAAGGGATGCATAAAATAGTCATGCTAAAGGTTACTCGTATCAAATGATGTGAAATTATATAGTGAATATGTGTTTATATATGTAAAATGTAATTTTATGAACTTCTACTACGAAATAGTGATTTCGGGGGTTAGAGTGTAAACAATTGGCGGTAGGAGGACTTGTTTTGTAATAAAGGTAAAATATAGGGGCATAAAAGCTTTGTTAAAGTTTTCTAACTTCTAGCTGGCCGATTTTGGAGTCCTATTTATTTTAGGGGCTGTTTACCAAATTTTCTATTAAGTCCTGTATGGATAAATTTGTCTGTCTGGATAAATTTGGCTGTCTGGATAAATTTAGGTTGCTGTTTACTTTTCTATCTGAATCAACAGTCTGAATAACAGAAATGACCAATTTACCCCTGAGTATTAACTATGGGCTGTTTAGTATATTGTTGTTCATTTTTTTAAGGCATGACTGTATTTCTGAAAAATAAAATATTAAAATAACAAAACATAAATTCATAAATCCAAGTTCAAACACAAAGTAGCCAAGTTCAAATACAAGTTGAAACACAAAAATCCAAGTTCAAACATTATTGACCAAACTATTTGCAATTTCATCTCTCAAAGTAGCCATATATTGAGTGCTATTAGCACCCCATTGTGAAATGTCCAATTCTTCTTCTCCATTTCCTTCGACTTCTTCTTCGTTGTTAAATATACTATCCTCATTGCACTCCATAAA